TATATATATATATATATATATATATATATATATATATATATATATATATACGAAAGGGATGGAAACTCTGACAGAGAGACTCCCTCACGTAGGCTGCGTAAGGCTTCCTGGATGGAGACACCGGGATCGTCGTAACCGATGGTTAGAGACACTAAGCGATATGACTGAGTGTCGTAAGCAGTGGTGCTCGTGCATCTACTCACTATCCTCAGTCCATGTGCATTCTTGTGTTCACTTTGACAATGATTTGAGCGTTCCAATCTTCCCTATACTTGTTTATCCCAACGGAAAGTCATGAAACAGCAACCAAAACCGGTGCACGAAAGTACACGGTTAATCGTTGTAAAACCTTAAAAAAACTTCGTAGTGCACCCATTGTATTACGTGACACTCCCTTTGGTCTATCTGGATCTAAACAGCCGAACACGAAAAACAAGAAACGTAAAATGTTATGTAGCTAACGACAAACACACATCGAGGCCTCTACCGAAACTCCAGACTACCACTCAGGGTAAAGACTGTAGCTGTAATCTTCCAGACTGTGGGAAGCATGATCAACAGAGCTGCATGCATCGTCGCACACCTCGGTTATACTATTGTGGTACACCAACCAACCGAACAATTTAGGGAACGGTTGGGAAGCGCTTATCAAACGCACTGAGTAATTTGGATCCCGATTACAGAGGCCACAGCTCCTGAAAATAACCATGGCATTAGGGGAACACTACATCCGACTGATATCAAGCTTCTACAACCATTCCTCAATCGGGTCGTCTATCATAGTACTCCCTTGTAAACATACAAAAAGCATTTACTTTAACCAGTTCACCACTCACTCACTCACCAGGTACATTGTGTATTATTTTCAACATTTTCATACCTTCCAACATGGAAATGAAGGGGCGGTTGTTTTGAAATATTCTGAATTGGATTCAAATTACGATTTGTACTTCATGCTACGGTGTCTCATGACGGGATGAGTGAGCAGCACAAACACGAGGGTATACAAAGCATGCACTAGCTAGAATTTTTAGTCTTTGAAATTGAAGCAGAATTATATCAGATCTCTATTGGAACTGTGCAGTACTGCNGCAGCGAACCGGTGAAAATGAACTTCAAACGAACAGAATGATTCTATCACTCCCCTCGTTATCAAATTGGAACTAAGAAAAGCCTTATCAGACGATTACAATAAAAAAAATCTGGGATATTGCTTAGTAAAGCAACTGCGATGAACTAGAGTATTGATATGTCACGAAGGACTGTCAACGGGAAACTTGACAGCTTCAACCTGCAGTCCAGTTAATTCTGCATACTGGGTAAACAAGTAGTCAAATTGGTAGACAATGGANATGGAGATAAAAGGAGCATGGCGCAGCCATTAATTGTAAGTTTCAGGGCGTTCCTTAATCCAGACGAGTTTACGTGTCATGAACAACTGGTGATGCATGAAACTGAACACACATATGACTTATGCAAACACTGACGCACAAGTAAACGTGAAACAGGATTACGATTACCTTTTGTGATGGTGTGCTAACAGGTGTTGTGGATGGAGACGGGACTTTCGGTGATTTGGGAGTTTTCGAGGGTGAGTGACCGGGAGGTTTGACTTTCCCCAGTGGCGTCTGCGGACTCTTGGTTTTGTTCAGTATGCTTGGCGTGTCCGGGATGAGTTCGTCCGAGGACAACACTGGGGTGTCTGGAATTGGGTGTGTGTGTGTTCGTGGTGGAGTCCTCATTTTTTCGTTTGCCTGCAAAAAAGTCAGGGATAGAATAGAGAAGTCGGCTCACCGGCAAAGTTTTAGTCGAATGAAAAAGTATATTTCTGATGAATAAGATCAGTTGGAAGTTAATAGGCAAGTACTCTTTAACAATCTCTAGTAGTGTGCGGGCGTTAGTTGACGGTTGTTCCATATGCAGGGCGAGAATAAAGGTCTAGAGTTTGCTAGATGACAGGGAAACGAGAGTTGATGCCCAGTTCCACTTTGCATCCGTTTTCAGCAGTTCGTNCAGAGGCGCGCGTAATGGCTTATAAGTCCTAAAATGGACCTTAACGAACTGACATCGTGTAATGTTGGAGGGATCTGGGCGACGACTAAGTCCGCCGATGATCAATCCAAGGTATTCCACAGAAGGCATGAAGAATTTACACTTCTCCAAATGTAGGACACGTAGGATCCGTGTCAGAACACTGTGCAATCGTTGTGAGAGTTCGGTGGGCGTCGTGCCAGTCAAGATTATATCGTCCAGATAGGCAGCAGTACCGTCAGTGCTCGTGAGGACAGTGTCCATGACCTGTTGGAAAATCGCGGGGGCAGTCTCCATGCCAAATGGAACCGTTGGTACTGGAACAGACCACGGTGGGTGTTGATCGGCAACAGTTCCCGTGAGTCCTCGTCGACTTCTATTTGCGAGTAAGCGTCTGCTAGGTCAAACTGAGCGAAGTAGGTGCCGCCGTTTAGCTTTGCGAACAAGTTGTCGGTCAGTGGTAGGGGATACTGGTGTGCATCTAGGGTGTCCTTCAGACATGTTGAAAAATCGGCATAAATTCGAATAGTACCGTTAGCCACGACGATAGGTGCGGTCCAGGATGAGTAGTTGACTGGTTTCATTACACCTGCAAGTTGGAGTCGGTCGAGTTCTTCATCGACTGCTGGCAATGATGCTTATGTAACTGGGCGCTTGGGCAGAAAAAACACGCTTTGCATCCGGACGGATGCCCAAATGAGCTTGGGACTTAGTGCAGCAGCCTAAACCATCTTGGAACACTGAAGAAAACTTCTCCTTGAGGGTTAAAGTCAGATTTGTAGACAAGTGTTCGGTAGATGGCGCACTTTCGGTGTATAGACACACGTTGACAGACGATGTTTAGAGGCACATCCAGGAGGTGGAACTTTTCAATCCAGTCGAGACTCATCAAATTCAAATAGGGTTTGTTGGCAAGGTACCACGTTCCTCTGATCTGCATGCCGTTGAACGAAACGTCACACTCAAGCTCACCAATGAGACGTAGTAGTCCGCCAGATAAGTTCGTCGCTTTCCTGTTGGTCAGATTGAATGGGGGTCGTTCCAGAGAGTGCCAAGTTTGTTTCGAGATCGATGTGATGTCAGAAGCGGTGTCTATCTGCAGGTGTACTGGGTCACCACTGATGCGGACTGTGAAGTATTTGCGTCTTTTCTCTATTTTAGGTTCGACAGCAGATAGGATTGCTTGATTTTTGGGTTCAAACTTTGTCGACGATGATTCAACTCGACTTGGCTCGTGACATAGAAGGACGTAGAAGGATGTTTGGCGTGACACTAATCTTCTTTGTGTCCTCGTTTGCGGCCTTTTTGACACATGTGTTCCCTGAAGGGACAGTCACATACGTGATGCCATTCTCCGCATTTCCAACATGCTGTGGCGCTCTTCTGGCTTCTTGTGGTTTTCGGGTAGACGTTGACCGTGGCTTTGTGACAGCATGGACATTGGATGAGGCCGTAGCCGAGCCGCTTTGTTCAACAATGGTTGAATCATGCTTGAGGTTCTCGAGCTGCTGGCATTCGTCTGTCAATGTCCGCAAATTGGTTTTACGGTCTTGTTCGATGCGATTTAGTAAGCGAGTGCGGATTTCTGCGTCACGGGGAGACTGAAGCGCTCATACGAATATCAGGTATTTGAATTGGTCGTCAGTCATTGAGAGCAACTTGCATTCCTGGCACTCCCGGTTCACAATGCTGGCTCGTGTCAGATAGTCATCTGTATCGTTCTTCGCTAACTTAAGGCAGTGATACCGGATACTGACCAAAAAGACGCCTTTTCACTAAATGTCTGAAAGTTGTTGGACTGTTTCTTCGAAAGTGAAACCACATGAACTTTTGAGCAGGATCATATCTCTGTAATGATCATGTTCTCTGGTTCCCAGCTTTCGGAGCAATAGTCGCACCTTCCATCCATCATCAGCATCCGCGGATTTGACCCGGAGTACATATTTCCAACGTTTGAACCAGGAATCAAGTGTCGTTCCTGCATCGGTAAAAGCGTCGATAGATGTGGACCGTTTAACCGGTTTTGCTGAATTTGGATGTGTACTGAGAAGCTGCAAACATGGTCTTCACCATTTTCAGGTGCGCANTAAGAATTTCCTGTAGCTGCTCCGGCGTGATCGACATTGTAGATCCGTAAGTTTTCCCGGCGCCAGTTGTTGTGTTCGGACTAGATGTACGAATGACACGAGCAACTCTTGCTCAACCCCCAAAGATAACGCGGAGAGAGAAGACAGGTTGAGGCAATGGTCAGTGTGTATTCCTTGATTATATATCGATAAGCAAATATATAGGACAAATCACGCATACGAGAACGGCGTAGTGACTCATCAATCAATCGGATTGCGTCTATGACATATCGATTGATCGATTGGACAAACATTGACTGATTTGTTCCAATCGGGCTCAGCTTGTCTGACGCCTTGTGAGCGTGCGTGTGGCTTGACTCGGAGGCGTGCTCGATCGGACGGGTTGCTTAAGCTCCGTGCTAAAAGAAACTGTCAGGAAATAAGGAGCTATTGTCTTACATGTTGTAGGTCAGATTAGACTGATCTTACAACATCCGAGTGGAACCACGGGAGAATGCGGTAGTCGACAGTCAACAGNGTGCTTAGGCAGAGTTAGGCTGTGTGCTCTAAATGCTTTACAATGGCCAAATTTGGCTCCCAAAAGGGATTACTTCCAATTGAAATTATTGCATGATCTTCTTGTTTTGTTTTTTCGTATCTTCATCAGACACTACAGAAAGATTCACAGAAAAAAAGATTGACACCATAGTTACAAAAGACCTAGTAAATGGTACAGCTAAGCAGCACTCTTTGGACGAGTAATAAAAGAACGACAGAACCAACACAAGAATGTGACAGCATAGGAAAATCCGAGCAAAGTACAGGAGAGTTAATGGTTTTGCAACATGGAATCCAAAATGTGACATCGAGTAAGACCACATCAAAGCTGCATGAAGGGCAATAATCAGGTAATTTTTCATGAATGCGGCTTGTAAAGACAGTGTCCAGTATCTACATTTTAACACAAAGCTATCATCAATATCCCAATCCTAGGGGTTACTTTTGAATGGGAAATAATTTCGTGTATATTTGAAGATAGCGGTCAGGCGCAATTATCGTTTTTTTTTGTTCGGAAAATGGAGACTTATTTGGATGACATTCCAGAGCCTTAAACGGTAAATTTATGATCATTAGGGTCTAGTAAGCGAGAGAGAAACAAAAATCACCAGAAAGAATGTTCTCAACTTAAAAAACGCAGAATACCAAAACCCTCAACATCGTCGAAGGTTTCTTGGATTGCGGCTGGCAATCCTTCCTCTGCATCTCGCGAAATGCTTCGATACTACCAAGCGTTCCTAATAGTCTCTGCTGAGGAAGCCCCACTCACTGCCTTAACGCTGAAGAGATATTTTTCCAGTAAAGTGAGGACGAAAAGCCCGCGTCTAAGGCTAGAATCTGGTCGGTAGTTCACCTACGGGAGTTGGATAAAACCCTCGTTTCAAGCTAACCAAGAACAAGTCTAAGAACCATAAACACACATCTTCCTGGTTTCAGCTGTCACCGACTAGATTAGGCATTAGGGGATTAATGGGCACCTCGGACGGTGGATCTCGTCCAAAGGGCGTATGTTCCGATTAACTGGATACTGGTATCCAATGGATCACGGTCTTCACACACCACTCCGATTCCTAGCGGGTCAGGCTTTGGCTAATCGAAGGCTCCGGTTGTGGATCTCTCAAGAAAGTTCACCTGCTTTGGCCTGGGTAACCTGGCGATAATGCACCCACGAGCAAACCATGAACTGATTTCACTGGGATAAAGATCGGTATCGTGATTTTTTTGACACAGTTGGAACTCCAAACGTGTGAAACATATACCAAACGCTGTCAGGATCAGTGCAAAATAAGAGCTGATTGCAAAGCGTGTAGCAATATCAGACAGAAGACCCCTGTCCTGTCTTCACACTAAGAATATATAACAGTTTTGGGTAGTACTTAGCTCCGCACGGATTGCTTAAACGGCTTTTTACATGTAATCTGTAAAACATCTATTCTACGGTGTCAATGGGAAAAACAGAAAATACCCCAGCGTTAGTAATGCCTACAAAGGTCATAAATACCGAAAGAGTATTCAACTTCGAATGGTTTACGGTCAATGGAAAACACCTAGAGGCCGAAGAAAAATGTAACATACAACGGGCGAGCTGAGGGGTTTCTTCTTTGTAGAACTCTGGAAAAAATCGTCAGCAGATATTTCTTTCTTCTTTTTTGCATCAACATTGGCCTTAGGAGAGAAGTACACATCCAGTGTGTTTCGCTTTTTAGCTTTCTGCACATTTTCCTTATTGCTAGCACCGTGTTTTAGCGAGTCCATCAAAGTAAGCTGAACTTTTCCTCGGTAGGACCCATTTTCGTCATCTGAGGACAAAATGATAACAAAATGAATGAGTACCACTACCGAACAGATCAGAGTCCGCACGACTCTCCGTCTTGGAAAGTTTAACTCGCTTTGTCTTCTCTGATTTCTTCCTCTCTGGTTCAAACTCCGATTCTGCAACGACTTTGAGAAAAGGAATCACATAAACTTACCAGAGTCGGATTCACTAAATACAACCTTTCTCTTCATTTTTGTCGCCTGAAATGAGACGAAATAAGCAAATGTGATGAAGTTACATTGAAACACGAGTGTAATTATTTTAGGCTTGTAATCTTCAATGATTAGGGTACATGCAAGGAAAAGTAATCAGCAAGAAGTGTAACCACAGACAGATATATCCCCATAGAAATTTTCGAGAAAAGGATTGTGATTATTCAAAGGCTGTCTGGGAGCAGGTAGTGTTGAGAAGCTTATACTAGGATGGTAAGATTTAGGCGCATGGCCTGCGGACCGATATTATGCTGGCCTGTGCCACTTGACGGTTTTGGTTGTCCAGGTAAATGAGCGTCCAACAGCGTTAACGCACTTTTTCCGTTAGCAATAATAACCGATAACGCTCTACCATTGCGTCTCGCCTTTGATCTTAAACACTTTCACAGGAAACTCAAACAAACGTGTTGCCTTCAATACTTATAAAACTTTATTTAGAATGATAGAAAATAAGCACTAGTCTTTTTCAGCTTGGGTTCAAACCTGACCCCATCTCATCCTGTCCAGGGTTATTTTATCTCCGCTCGCTACCACTTAGCTTCTGCAGTTTTTGATTTACTTCTTTGTGCCTAAAACCATACTTGTTCTTTATTAAGAGACAGACTTCACCATTCCAGTCCGTCTCCTTGGATTTCACGGAGCCCGGGTTGGATCCAGCAGTGAACAGTGAAACTGGGTTAATGGGCGCTTTATTGCTTTTGCTATCCTAACTCAACGTAGTTGGATTCATAAACCACCTATTTTAACGTACAAACCGCGATCAGGACTATTCGATTGGGAAACGTTACCGTGGATCATACAAGGCTACCACACTACATTACTGGGTAAAACTTATACATGTAGCCTAAGGTGTTAGGGGTTTCGTAAGGGTGCATTGATTCTCCTCTATGCCGTGGGTACAAGGGAACAACTGGCGACCAAACAAAGAAAAATCTGCAGTCGTACTACGGCGTACAACCCCGGCCAACGGTCGGGACGTTCCGTGTGAACGTGGAAGGTGGATGGGTAGACAAAATACAGTGAAGCGAACTCCACTGATGGCTGCCAAACTCATAATGTATAAAAGTTTAGTAGGAATGTGTAAAGAGAATAGGAAATGGGAACGGGAAGGGAAACTAAAGCGACCCCCCAAGGTCAATACACGGAGTACACAGTCTAAATGCGCAGACAATTTCATTGAGACCATATTGAGAATTTCAGTATATATCGTGCAAGTAGTAGATAATGTGAGCACGCCCTGTGTGGCAGATAAGGAATAAAAACTCAGTCGAACTGTAACGAACACTCGAGTGAATTTAAAACGGAGAAGCAGCGTTCACCAGTAGTACGAAAAGCTAACAGCATTGTATTATTTTTTTAATATTGGGTTCGGGAGACGACGGCCTCGGTATCCTTCCATCAGGTGTGACACCACACTTAGAATCGCATGGCCCAGATGAATACCCTCTTATTCAACACCATCAAGAATACCGATTCCATTATATCGAATCGGAGTCTACTGGACGTGATACCCATTTTCATGAAGCGTTCTCGACATCATCAACATCATCTAACATCGAAATAAAGCGAAGCGAACTTGGCTGACCGCGTGCCAAACTCGCAATGCATACAAGGTTAGTGGTAAAATTTAAGGTGGACAGGGATTGAATCTATTTCGAGGGAGGGAGAAGAAGATGACCCACTATGGTCAACACAGAGTACGCAATCAAACTCTGCATACATACCGTTTCAAGCATTCTGACCTGATAAGAAACAACAACAAGAACACCACTGCTCCCGGTTCACTGCCATATCCTTCAATGTCTCCAACCAACCAGTTGTGAAGCGTTTCGGACCCCAGCCTGGAAGGCTAGAGACACCTACTCTACCTAATTGCTCTGTGCATATCTTCGTGCATTGTCTCTACGTCCTCTGTTGACCTCCACGTGGTCTCCTCCAGCCCGGATTAGCTACAACGAATAAGGCGCGGTGCGGCAGACGATGACTGGGCATACGCAATACGTACCCTAGCCAGCGGAGCCTAGTAATCTGAATTCGGTATGCTAGTAGGTTTATACCTGACACTCCCAAAC